ATTGCCTTTAAATTTAAGGTGAAGGGCTATCTATTACAGTAGGCAGAAACCACAGAAAACAGGAGACAATACAAGAAGCTTGCATTTCAGCAATAAATATGTTTAAATCCTTGCTTAAAACTAAATATGGACACATGGTAAAATCTTCATGAATGTCAGATTTCCAGAGAGGATTTGTATAATTTCAGGGTCTCTCTTACATAAAATGAATTAGACTATAAAAGTAGGTAATTATTCCAGTGCAAAATGAACAAATGTCATGGAGCTGTACAGGAATTGAGGCCAAAACCATTCACAAAGGTAATGAATGACGAATGATGTGAAAAGCCATGTAACCTCAAAAGATCTTTTATAAGAAGAGATCATGCCTTCAGCATCCAGAGTTTGAAATGCACCCATTGTCCCTGACCTTGGTCATTAGATGTTAAACATGGTTGAGCAATTAATAATTGTCACCTGCTAGATAGAGTCAGAATGAACTTTCACAGAGTAGTGCATTATTGGGAATGCCAATAATTTTTCTTGGTATTTTCATCTGTTTTGCTGGCCCTAAATCAGCCACCCAGGTCCCTTGGAAATTGTTTCTTATCCAGGTTCAGCCACTTTGAACTACAGCACATTCAGGTATGAAATCCACTTTTGAGAAAACAACAGTAGGAAAGAGGTTGAGAGTTTTGAAAAGAGGTTGTTTTTCCATAACCTTGGCATCCATTTTCACGAAAACAGGATTCCACTTGTCTGTTTTGGAGAGGAAATACGTGCATTTTTCTTTGGGGATGTCAGTAGGACATGAAAGGGAACTGACCTGACAGGATAGCTGACTTTTGGGACGTGACTTGAACATTTCCATGGTGGGGTTTGCAGGGAACATAGAAAATGAGTAAAATTGAGGGTGTGCAGACATGTGTGTAAGGGGCAATAAATCACCCATGATTTCATGGTGTCATTCTCTGTTTTCCTATGAGCAATAGACCCCAGCTGTGGTTCTCTGTAAGATCGATTGCTTTAGAAGGCAGCAATGAGCCCTACGGGTTCTCTTGACTGGTTGAGACAAGTAGCACATGTTGTAGTCTGGAAACGTCTGTTGTGGATGTCTTGTTCTTCTGTTTGTGGATCGATGATGATCAGTGGTTCCTTGATCCAAGTCCATATTGAGTAATTGATTGATTGAATTATCATTTGCTTGAGGGAGCAACATGCCTCAGGTTCAGTTCCAGGAATAATGATAGAGCCGATTTTGATGCCAGTCTTTTTTTTTTTTTTCTCCTCTTCCTTTCAATGCAGGTGTTGTGCCTGCAAAAGTTGTCATTTGAATCACAGTGTCCCGGGATGTCCGTGCCTGGGTTCATGCAAATTAGGAGACATGCAGAAACTCCAGCGCTCCTTCATGTTTTTCGTGTGAGACAACTACTCTGGTAAGCTTATGGATGTTCAGTTTTCTGGGCGTCTGCAATGCGCCTTTGTTGGGTCAATGATGAGAACTCTTTTTGTCTAGGCGAGAGAAGATGACCTAAGAATCATTGAAATAGGGTTATCTGTGGCCCACTGGAGGTGACAGGTTTGTGGCACTATGATGGGAAGCCTTCTTTCCCTGTAGAGCCATGGGGTTGGGTTGATGAAGCAAGCAATTTGCTGAGGCAATCCCATGTGCAGTCCAGCTCCAGGTTGTTCACCGTCTTAGCTGTAGAGGGCGCAGCGTCACTGGCTCTAATGTGGGATCCAAACCTGCTGCTCATAGCTGGCGTCCCAAGCCAACTCCTAACCAACGCCACTCGGCCAGCCAGGTTTTTTTTAAATTCATTTATGCACCCTCTGTCTTTTGATTGGAGAATTTAAATCATTTACATTTAAAGTGATTATTAATAAATATGTACTTATTTCTACTTTTAAGTAATTTTCTGACTGTTTCGTTGTTCCTTGTTTCCTATTTCTCTGTTGCTCTCTTTCTTTGTCATTTGATTACTTTCTTTAATGGTATGCTTTGATTTCTTTCTCATTAACTTTTGTGTATCTACTGTCAGTTTTGTTCTGTGAAGCTTATATATAACAACTTATTGTTATAACAGTATTTCAAGTTGATAACAGTTTGATAACTTCTCTCTTCCTTCATGTCTTTTTCTTTTGCAATAGAAACATCAGCAGGCCTCAAATCTCCTGGTGCCATTGATCCTGGAATTTCTAGTATCCTGAACTGTGAGAAATTAATTTCTGCTATTTATAAGCTAACCAATCTGTGGTATTGTTGTTATAGCGCCCCAAACCATCTAAAAACAGTGTCTTATAAATTCCACAGTTTTTTCTTTCAATTTTTTATTCTATTTTCTTCTCTTAGTGGATAATTTCAAATTAGGCTTTCAGTTCATTGAATCAGATTTCTGTTTGATTAAGTGTGTTGTTAAGGCCCCATTTTTATTTGTTTTAATTCATTCATAATATTCATCAATTCCAGAATTTGTTTATTTTTCATGATTTCTCTTTAGTGAACTCATTTGTTTCATGTATTGTTTTCATGATTTCATTGAATAGTCTATCTTTATTTTCTTATAACTCTCTGAGATACTTTATAAACAAAGATTTTTGAGTTCCTTGTGAGGCAATGTATAAAAATGCATTTCTTTGGGCTTGTTTATTGGAGCTTTATTGGTTTCCTCTGGTAGTTTTTATGGATTGTTTGATTTTTTGTGATCTATTGTATATAGCCTTGCACTGATATCTGTGCATTTGAAGGAAAACACAGACTGGTTTCAGCAGGCGAAGACTTTCTCCTGCCAGGTCCCCAGACTAAGAGAGCTGCCGCTGGGATTACAGTTGAGCAGGGCTGGTGCTGGGTCACATGGCTGCTGCCATGTTTGAATTTGGGTCCGTGGTTGGCAGGTCCATTACCAAGGGTATAGACAGGCATGGTTTCTGCTGGATCACCAGGTACATGGGGCTGCCTCTGGGACCACAGTCCAACAGGGCTGGAGTTAGGTCACGGGCTGTGGCTTTATCCACAGTGACGTCTGTAGATGGTGGGCCTGCTACCAGGGGCTTGGAGGGCGTGTTTCCTGCCAGATTCCCTGGGTGGGAAGGACTGCAATTTGGGTTAGAACTGATTCTCAAGGCCATTTCTGGGTCCACAGTCAAGATGGAAGTCAGTTGGCCTGCTGCCAGGGACACTGAGAGGCATGCCAGGGCTGCAGGGTAGGCAGGCAGTGGGTAACCCTGGACCCCAGCACAGCAGAACTGGATCTAGCCCTCAGGGCTTTCTCAGGGTCTGCAGTTGGGCCTGTGGTCAGTGGGGTGTTCCCAGGGACAAAGAAGTGCATGTTTCCTGCGTGTCCCTGAGTGGGCAGGAATGGCTCCAGACGGTGGAGCAGGGATGGGCCATGTCAGAGGGCTGCGTCAGCGCCCACGGGCAGGCATGGGACACCGGTGGGCAGAGCTCCTCCAAGGCCCCTTGGTGAGTAGGACTGGACCACAGCCATGCAGGGTAAGTCGAGTCTGCAGGGGTGTGGGGGGTGGGACTGCTCTGTCTGCAGCCAGGACCGGGGTCAAGCCTATTATTAGGCATTTGCCCAGCTTCTCAGACTGCATTCCTCAGTCCTGCCTTTCCCTGGGGTTTCACCGTCTCCTGTCTGGATCCCAAAGCCCCCTAAGGTGCCTTTATCCACAGAGAGCTGCCATATCGTCTGGGGAGACATGAGCTAGGGACCTTTGGCTCTGTCATTTTGCTCCATCTAATGTCTTTTTGATTAAAAATATTGTAGTTTTGGGCTGGCCGGGTGGCCCAGTGGTTAGAGTGCATGCTCTTAACAAGGTTGCCGGTGGGACTCCCGCATGGGATGGTGGGCTATGCTCACCCCCAACTAAGATTGAACATGGCACCTTGAGCTGAGTGGCCATGAGCTGCCTACGGGTGGCTGGATGGCTCAGTTTGTTAGAGCGCATGCTCTTTTTTTTTCTTTAAAGATTTTATTGGGGAGTTGGGGGAGGGGAACAGACAAGTTGCTCTCCTTTTGTTCTTCAGTCTAGTTGTGGAGGATGTCGCTTCACTGGCCCATGTTGGTATTATCATTGCGCTCTTCCCGGGTGAGGCAATCTGTCACCGACCACTGGACGGCCGCTCACGCTAGCCCACCTGCAACTAGATTGAACATGGCAACTGGACTTGGAGCTGAGCTGCGCCCTCCACAACTAAGACTGAAGGACAACAAATTGACTTGGAGCTGATGGGCCCTGGAAAAACACAATGTTCCCTTCTCCAATTCCCCAACACTGTTCCCTTCCCCAATTCTCCAATTAAAAAAAAATTTAAAAAAAAAATTGTAGTTTTCATTTCTAGAATTTCCATTTGGTTCACTTTTATAATTTCCATTTTGGTTATGAAATCTACATCGATTAATGCATGCTTCCTCTGCTTTCTTTAGAATAGATTGAAACATTGTCTTACTCCTTCTACAATATTGGTCATACGTCTGCCAGTTTTAAGGATTATGGGTTGCATTTTCTTGGTTCATCTTGCCTTATTCATTTATTTATTTTTTTGTACATCAGACATTTTGAGTAGAATAAGAGTGGACACATTTGCACTGTGCTTTTGTTTTGTTTTGTTTTGTTTGCAGACAGTATCTGGTGGCGAGGGTGAAATAATTATTATTCACATTTTCACGTCAGTTAAGTTGACCTTGACCTGGAGCTGCTTTTCTGTTCTACTGCCTACCTGTCCTTGTAAGTACCTCTCTATTTCTGCGTGTGTTATGTTTATGTATTATAAGTATTACCTTGACTTTCACATAACTTGAGAAACTTTCATTTTAAATTTAATAACTTTCCTAATGTATTTTGAGTCTTTAACCAATAATTATTATTTGCTCCTTTGATGAATGTAGTGGTTAATATTTTCCATGTATTAATCAGGTATACTCATTATATCAGTTTCTTATTTTAAATTAGTTTGCTGTTTACACTTGTTGCTTTTGCAAATAATAGTGCTCTAAACAGAACTCAGATTTTGGGCGGTCACCTAGATTAGGAAAATGACAAAAGTACTCTTTTTTCTTAGGCTATTTTACAAGGCTTCTGCAAAGAAATGTATTTTGTACAATAGTAATGAGGAACAGGTTTCATAAAAAACCCAGGTATTTGGGAGTATTTGCAGGTTAATGAAGGTAAGGATTTATGAAATAGAATTGGCTTCTATGTGTTATGTGTTGAAATAAAGTTGCCCTTCGTCATGTAAAATAGAGAATGGTGTGGGGTCGTGATCTAAGGGTTTTGTTATGAACATATTAATGCATGCCCCCTGGCCCATCAGATGAAAGCAGTGTCACGTGTGTACTGTTGGCAGATAGATCATAACATCCTTCAGTATCTTCTAAATGATACAACCCGGGTTCACAGTTCACTCCTGATTCTTTGTTTCTATCATATGGAGTAGATGTGTCAGCCCCGCTGTAGCACCCCTTCAGGTACCACTCCAGACTGAGAAGGTTCTGGAGGCTTCTGGAGTTGCCATTATAACCAGATTTACTAAAGTTGAGAAAAAATGCCCTGCAGGGCCGTTTCCCACTGTAAGCTGAATGCGAGTGGTAAATGTTCAGAACCCCAGTGTGCTGGAGGCCTGCCTATCACCTCGTAGCGCCCAAGGATACACATAGTATCTGCAGTTACTAAGGTCCAGCCGAGTGGCTTCTAGTAAGAAAACCATTTTCCAAACTGGATCCACTGGTGACCTCAAAAAAAAACACCTCACAATAGCCTTACACGTTTTCACATTTCAGCGTACTTTTCACATCACAGTATATTTTCATCGTCTTGATTGGGTGGAATGCACCTTTGGGGTCTTCCATTCAAGAGGCAACTACTGTGTCACTTATTTGCATTGCCCAGTAGAGAGGAGTCTTGGCTATTTGCAAAGTAAAGAATTCAGAGAGAAAACAAGTGAATAAATAAAATGACAAAGGTGACCGTAGATCAAGCAAATGGGCTGCTTGTGGCAAGGGATGCCTCTATGATTAATTAAAACGGAACCAATGCTATGCTTTATCATTAATTTATTGAGTGCATTTTCTGACCTGATCAATTTTCTTTACAATGCTTTGCTGCAGGTCAAAAGTTGAAACAAGTTACTGTTTCTCCAAGTGAACATGTTGCTTTCAGGGAAGAAAGGTGAGCAGCTAACCTGGTGCTTTTGGATTTTTGTGTGTTTGCACTTCCAAGTCTGTGAGTTCATTTTTTCAGAGGCTCACAGAAAAATATTTCAGTCATAGACATTTTTCTTTGTGAGTGTCCCTACGTGGTTCAAGGAATCCTAAGTATTGTTTCTTTCCTTTTTAAAACCTTTTTTAAGTAACCTGAATAATTTTGGGGAATCATTCCCATATTTTCTTTTTCTACCATTTTGTATTGGATTGAAATTATTCGGTAGTGAAATCTAAGTGTGCAAAATACTGGTTTTTATCTTTATCTGGATGATTCAGGACACAGAGGCTTATGCTAGTATTTGTACTGTAATCCTACTACATATTATTCCACTGCCTCGTTTACTCTTTAAAATTTCAGTTGATTAAAGGGCTTCTTTATTTTCCAGTTGATTTAATCTTATTTTGATAGAACAATTCAAGGTCACATTGTAATGCTATGTGAGTTCCATTCTTCAGGTCCTAAATAAAATGGCCGCTGCCCGTGGACTGCCCTTGATTCGCAGCGCAGTAGACAAGCACGAAATAGGCCTGGCGGTGGAAATGCTTATTTGTCGGGCGGGCGCCCGTCTGGATCAATGATGAGCACAATTGTCTGAGGATGCTGAGGGACTCATTCCAGATGTCAATCTGAGGTCCAGATGAGTGGCCCTCCAACAGGACAAATAAGGCTCCCAGAGCCCGGCTCTATTTAGTGACCCCAGTGACCACACCGTGCCACTGAGACCAGGCCTCCCTTTCTGAGCGAGGCATTAGTGTCGCATCTATGAGGCCATATGCGACTTGGGGTATGCTGGTGACCTGAGGCTGGCTTCATTTGGCCACTTTGAACAGAGGCTGGTAGCTAGCTACTTGTGCATGGGAAGTATGTCCTGGAATAATTAGTGAGGAAGCAAAAAAAATATTAAGTTAAGAACGGTTCACGCACCTGTGATGCGTCCAGAGAGCCTCATTAGCATTGGGCTAAGAGAAGGAAAGCTGCGTGCCTGTGCTACGTGTTAACAATGGAGTCAATTCTAGTGCTTTGTGATTTTAACTACTGAATATTTTCTAAGACTCTGTCTGCTTTCCTTTTTGTCCTTTTTTTGTTGAAACAGAGGGCTGGAGTCAGGTCTTTCACTTCAGAGAATAGGGTGAGTAACTCTACCCAGATCCTTGGAAATTTATGTCATGTGCTCTGTGCCAGGCCCTGAGGTCTCCGTGTTCATCTCTTTAGAGACTTACTTGAAAATATTTTCATGATGTGCTCTTTTTTTTATCGAAACCCTCATCAAGGTTACCTACATCATTGAATCGTTATCATTTCTTCTTTCATGTTAACTTTTTCTTTTCTTTTTTAAAGATTTTATTGGGGAATTAGGGGATGGGAACAGCATTGGGGAATCCGGGGGGGGGGGAAGGGGAACAGACAAGTTGTTGTCCTTTTTTCTTCAGTCCAGTTGTGGAGGACGTTGCTTCACTGGCCCATGTTGGTATTGTTATCATTGCGCTCTTCCTGGGTGAGTCAGATCAGTCGCCGGTCACTGGATGGCTGCTCACGGTAGCTTACGGGAGCCCACTGCAGCTCCACTGTAGCCTACGCCGTCGCCGGCCACTCACGGCAGCCCAGCTCCAGGTCGAGCTGTTGTTCACCATCTTAGCTGTAGAGGGCGCAGCGTCACTGGCCCTAATGTGGGATCTGAACCAGGCCCTGCTGCTCAGAGCTGGCGTCCCAAGCCTACTCTTAATCAATGCGCCACTCGGCCGGCCCGTTAACTCTTTTTTGCTTTGATGGAAAATGTACAAATTGAGAGAATTTTTGGCTATCTCATATTGGAGCTAAAAATTATTGTAGTGATAAACAAATGTGCTAAAATATTATGAGATTTTCCTCATCTGTTTAATGACAGGGATGTCAGAATAGAGACTCATAAGGCCTTTGTGACCACACTGCATTGTATCCCCGTTTCTCCTGGAATCTTTGAAGGCTGGCATGGATGAGCTATTTCTCATGTGCGTCATGGGACATTGTATGTAAAATTTTGTTAGATCTCTCTAAGACCATGAAGTTTTTATCTGATAAAAGTTGCAATATTTGTTTTGAAACACAGAATAGTTCAAATTGCAATGGTGTTGGGCTAAAAAAGGGATATTATGTTAGAGGTATCAAATGGAGAGATATGGAAATATGATATATGGCCTCATTATTTCATACTAACACTTGAAATATGCATCCCTAAAAAGAGTGAGTGGTTCATATGTTTCCTGGCAAGCTATGTTGAGGGTTTTGTGTTACCTGGGACATCGTGATTAGTGCTCTAAGAATAGGTAAACTTTTTTCTTGGCAAAGCTTTGTTACTAATTCTATAAAATTGTACTTATTTTTATATTGATTGCATATTGTTTATTTGTTTCTATTTATTCTCTAGAAGCATTGAAAAGTAATTCTTAAGAATTGAGCTACAGCTAAAAAATAGTCATAGATCAAAGAGAAAAATTAGTTCTGCCAAATATCGTAATAAACTCTAGAACCTCCATCATTAACAAACCATTGAGCAGGCATAAGGGTAGCAGGAGCCATGGGGCATGTTGTTACTCAAAAGGCATATTCTCACAATCTGTGTATTCGTTACTATGAGGACAGTCACAGATTCATGGATTCGGGCTACTGTGTGAATCCAAAGAGTATGACAGTATATCGATGCATAATATGTGTTTAGTAAATAGCCATATTATTCCTCTACAGTAGGGCCCAGACACAGAAGCAGAATATAACTTGCATAATAGAACCTTCCTGTGTGACTAACTCCAGACTCTTCGCTCCAGATGCTGCCCCTTCTGAAATGCATTTCATTTTTACCAGATTTTTTTAAAGTTTATAAAAATGAAATGGCATAATTTTGTTTTCTTTATGACTGCCTTCATTTGTTCAAGAATTCTTACTAGTCAGATGAAAATTTTATTTGAAACATCAAATTTCTTGTTGTAAGCTGGTTAGTAATATGCTCCTTATTTTGTATGTCTTTTTAATTTTTAGTTTTCAATTACAGTTGACATTCAATATTTTATTAGTTTCAGGTGTACACATAGTGGCTAAACATTTATATAATTTATGTAGTGATCCCCCTGATAAGTCTAGTCCCCATCTTACACTATACATAATTATTACAATGTTATTGACTATATTCCTTGTGCTGTACTTTACATCCCTGTGACTGCTTTGTAACAACCAATTTGTACTTGGTGTTGTCTCTATTCTCAATTAATCTTGCTAGGAGGGTTTCAGTCATATTAATTATTTCAAATTACTAATTTTTATTGTTCTTATGTTGTATATATGCTTTCCGTTTTGCTGATTTCTTTTTTTTTTAATTAAAATTTATTGGGTTGACAGTGGTTCATAAAATTACATAGGCATCAGGTGTACAATTCTGTAATACATCACCTATATATCACATTGTGTGTTCACCACCCAGAGTCAGTGACCCCCTCTACCCTCATCATTTTGCTGAGTTCTGCTTTTAACCTCATTAATTTTTCCTTGTGTTCCTGTGGAGTTTGATTTGTTTTTCTTTATCTAGCTTCTTGTATAATTTACTGATTCAGGGCCCTTTTCAATTCTAACATATTGATCTTTACTCTAAATTTGCCTGTGAGCATTTTCCAGCTGCATTAGCACAAGATTGACATTTTGCATCTTTTCTGTGACTCATATAAATATATTTTCTAACTTCCACGTTGATATATTTTTCAGTTATGGACTATTTAGAAGGGCATAGCTCAGTTTCCAAGCACTTGGGCTTTTTCTCTTGGTTTTTATTAATCATTTCTGACTCAACTCCCTATTGTGAGAAAACATACTTTGAATTGATTTTATTGCTTTAGAATAACTTTGTGTCTCTCTACTGGCCCAGGGGATGGTCAAAGTTAACAAATACTTCATTTGCACTTATCACATTAGCGTGTAGTTATGACATCGTGGGTACATTGTTCTGTACATGTGAAGGTGGAGCCACATATGTTGTAGATTTTCTATCTAAGGTCTGAAAATGTATTAGTCATGGGGAGTCATGTGAGAGATAATCATGGAAACAAGACATCTGGATAGTTTTTGGAATGGTTGTACTATTTGTATTTTGATCTCTGTGTTAACTAGTTGCTGTGTTTGGATGGTGAAAATTTATTGAGCTGTAACTTTTTAGTATATGCACTTTCTTACATATAGGTTGTATTTCAATCAAAAGTTTAAAATATCTCCCATCAAACTTGTCCAAATATTAGCTAAGATATTGTCTAGTAGATAATGTGTTACTTGGGGCCTAATAATTGAGGTCTTCAGGGTAGGTCAAGAGTGTCCTCTTTTAAATACAGACATTTTCAGCAAATCAAACATCACAGTAGCATTTAACACTGACAGACATAACAGGATAACCTTTCATTTCCAATCATTGAAATACTATTATTATTATTATTATTATTATTATTATTATTATTATTATTATTATTTAAGATTTTATTGGGGAATTGGGGGAGGGGAACAGACAAGTTGCTTTCCTTATGTTCTTCAGTTTTGTTGTGGAGGACGTCGCTTCACTGGCCCATGTTGGTATTATCATTGCGCTCTTCCCGGGTGAGGCAGATCAATCAGTCGCTAGCCACTGGACTGCTGCTCATGGCAGCTCTTGGCAACTCCCACCAGCTGCCGGCCACTCAAGCTGGCTGTCGGCCACACACGGTAGCTCACGGCAGCCCACTGCAGCTCCACTGCAGCCTACGCCATCGCCAGTGACTCACAGCAGCCCAGCTCCAGGTTGTACTGTTGTTCACCATCTTAGCTGTAGAGGGCAGTGTCACTGGCCCTCAAGTGGGATCTGAACCGTGGCCCTGCTGCTCAGAGCTGGCGTCCCAAGCCAGTTCTTAACAAACGCACCAGTTGGCCGGACCGAAATACTATTATTGTTAATTGCAAAACAAAATTTGTATACTAAGATTCAGATGTTTGGAAAAGCCATCGTCCAGATAAATCAGACAAGTTTCAATTTTTACTTATAATAATTTATATTCTGATAATACAGTGGTGATGATGATAAGAGGGCAAATTTGATTACATTGAATCAAAAAGTGTTACCATAAAAAAATTAATCCGGATATCTCCCATAGTAGGAATTTTTGAGATTCTGGTATTTTGTGTATTTTTGTCCAGATAATTTGAGTACATTTATATTTGGTATATGTTTTTTTCTTATTATTTATTTGTCCCTAGTGCTGGCAATGCATGCTTGAGAGTGAAAAAATAAGAAAATAAATATAAAGCTATAAATTATGGCCCGGGTTGAAGTAGGAAATTAATCACAGAGAACACCAATAATTTCAGCCCAGCACAATGCTTACTTAATTTTACAGACGTGCACAGAATGGGGTGCCCACAACATGGGCACTGTTCTCTCTCACTGAAAGGACTAATAGCTATGATACACATCAACTACCCTATAAACATTTGATGGCTTGTTCAGATGAGAGCGTGCGTGTGTGTGTGTGTGTGTGTGTGTGTGTGTGTACTTCACACAAAGAAACATGAAGAGCTGGTCACCAGTGTGTTTATCTGTGCTTAGAGTCATGTTGACTCATTTTTACATTTCAAATGAGGCTTACCCTACTGTGGAATGAGCCCACCAGTCAAGGATTCCCAATAAACCTAGCAGGTTATTATTTTTTTTGCACAGAATATTTCACAATTACCTTATGTCAGCCTGTTCTGAGTATTCTGTCTGTGTGAAGCTAAAAGCCAAGGTCATTTTCTCCAGGCCAGCCGAAGTGTGTGGTGAATTCACTACTTACTAACTGACAAGGAAATGATAAGCAAACTGGGACCATGGCAAAACAGGCATAATGGGATAGAGATTGACGTGTAAGTTAATGATGCTCTTGGTTGTCTGAGCAGATGGAAGAGAAAAGTGAAAACAACATGGCAGGTAAGCACCCATGTCACTCCTTTTATCAAGTGAGTTTAGCTAACTTTGTTGTGAAATAGAAATGTGGGTTGTTGTCCGTAAATAGAAAAATTAAACATTTTTAAAATATTGATGGGGACAGAAAATTAAAGAAAGAAGTGAACTGTAAAGTGCAGATGGAGTAAAAGTATAAAGTTTGATCT